CTCCCCCCCCGCCGGCCTTTTCCCTCCGCAGCTGGGGCGCAGGGCCCAGGGGTTCAAAGTTGGGGAGGCACAAACAGGGGATGGGGGTGGAAACCCCCCCCCCACTTCCCGTATTGCTGAGTCCTGGTTATGGGGGGGGGGGTCACATATGGGGAAGTTGAGAGATCCAATGTGTGGTGGAAATATTCATAGGGGAGGGGCAGGTGCCCTGGCTATGGGGGGAGGGGGTGAGGGCGTGGATTGGGGAGGGGAGGGTGTCCAGGTTATAGGAGGGTGATGGGGTAGGTATTGGTGGGGGCAGGAGAGTGTCCTGGCTATAGTGGTCAGGTAAGTAATACTGAGAGCCGTTGGCTGGGGTGTAGCTCTAGGGGGGGTGAGTGATTCTCAGGGCCTCCCCATCTCTGTCTCTCTCCCCACAGATGCCCCGTCACTGCTCTGCTACCGGCTGCTGCACCCGGGACACCCGCGAGACCCGCAATCGAGGCATCTCCTTCCATCGGTAAGAGCTACCCTGGCCCTGCTCCCTCCCCACAACCTCCCCCCACAGCCAGCCCTTCCGCCCTCCCCTCCCTGAGGGGAAGGTGCAAGGGACATCCGGGCACCCTGAACGGCAGTACGTTTAACGCCAACAGAAAGGAAATACTTTCCCAGCACAGCCTGCGTACCTTCCTGACACAAGGACTCACTCATTATCATCAAAGCTTGTTGCTCCAAAACCACAGCTGAGACCAGGTGTGATCAAGGAATCGCTGAGGAGTTGGGACCAATTTTCCCTTGTAGGCAGGTTATTCCAGAACTGCCCACTAGGGAGCGTCTTGCCTCTTCCTCTAAAGCAGCTGGGTTCTGTCGGAGAGAGGGAGGCCTTTGGTCTGGTCGGTCCTACGTCCCAGCTCCAGCGGATCATTTGGAGGTGGTGTTGCTTTTTCTTCTCCGTACCTAGAGAACATTAGCATCTCTGGGTTGAAAATGCCTGCGGGGAGGTCCTTGTGGCGGTTGAACCCCTGCTCCGGCCCATGCCTCTCCCTGGAGCTGAACCGTGCCATCTCTGTCCTCGCAGGCTGCCTAAGAAGGACAACCCGCGGCGCAGCGTGTGGCTGGAGAACTGTCAGCGCAAGGACCCGAGTGGCCAGGGCCCCTGGAATCCAGCCTCTGACTACATCTACTTCTGCTCCAAGCACTTCGAGAAGAGCTGCTTCGAGATGGTGGGGATCAGGTGGGTGCATGAGGCCGAGCCGACACCCAGGGACGCCCAGCTCTGTGCCCCGAAGCTAAGTGGTGCTAGCGAGGTAAAAAAAGACCTGGTAAAAAAAGCTCATCTCCCAAGCTAGCGAGGCTGAGCCTCGCTAGCTTGGGAGATGAGCTTTTTTTACCAGGTCTCCATAACTGTGCCAGCAGCTGCCCTGGCATCCCAGCTTGGGTAGGGGTGTGAAGAAGAACAGTACCACCAGTCACATAGATGCCTGGTTCATTGAATATTCTATATCAGGGTTGGAAGGGACCTCAGGAGGTCATCTAGTCCGACCCCCTGCTCAAAGCAGGACCAATCCCCAGACAGATTTTTGCCCCAGATCCCTAAATGGTCCCCTCAAGGATTGAACTCACAACACTGGGTTTAGCAGGCCAATGCTCAAACCACTGAGCTATCCTTCCCCCAGGTCCTCTCTCCTCTGGGAGAATGGGTTGGACCATGTGGAGCCCTGCCCTGAACCCTCTTCATCTGCCCTCTGGAAGGATGGACTGGTCTATACGGTTCCCCTAATCCTGACATGCCTCCTCCTACCCCGAGAAGATGGACTGGTCCCCTAGACCAAACATACCTCTCCAGAAGAAGGACTGGTCCATACAATTCCCCCTAGTCCTGGCATATCCCCCCAAAGATGGACTGGTCCATATGGTTCCCTCTAGTCTATATGGTCCCCCCTAGTGAAGATAGACTGGTCTGTACAGTTCCCCCTAGGTCAGATGCACTCACCCTCCCCTACCTGTGGGGATGGACTGGGCTATATGGTTCCCCCACCTTCCAGTCCAGACACAGTCCCTCTATCCAGAAAGGTGAACTGGTCTGTATGGTCCCACTAGTCCAGATGCACTTACACTCCCCATGAGGATGGACTGATCTGAATGGTTTCCCCCTAGTCTAGACACCCCCTCATCCCACGAAGGTGAGCTGGTCCATTTTGCCTCCTTCCACCCCCCTCTCCCCCCATGCAGACACATCCCCTCTCCCGCTTCCTGTGAGGACTGACGGACAGTGTGTCTTGTGAGGCCTAGAGTTTTCTTAAGGCCTGTTCCTCACAGTTCCTTGGCCCCATTTTGCAATGAGATCTGTTGAAATACAGTTCCGGTTTGTTACAGCAGCTCTCTCGATGCAAGGTCTTGCTAGCGAGCGAAAGAATACCGGGTGTGGGGGGGTTACGTTAAAGTAGTGGGGGTTTATTGTAAGGTAAGTTAAACATACCCACAACCACTTTCCCATGTAAGTAAAGTCATCCCGCGGGTGCGTCATAGGACAAAGAGCTCATCTGCACCAGGAAGTTAACCGGGTGAGGTGTGAATGTAAAGCCCTGTAACTATTCTACAATAACTATACGCAAGTCACAGGGCTCAAGGCAGGGGAGAATGGATGGTGGCCGGTGCTAGATGGGAGGTCAGAGTAGATGATCTTCTGGCCTTAAAAATCTATGAATGTGGAACCCCAAGGGCTGGCTGTGTGGATCCAATCGTGGGATCCAATCAGGGCTTTAAGCACCTGAATAAAACATGGTGTGGTTCAGAGACTAAGGGATTTGTGAGAGAGAGGGTAAAAAAATCAGACTGCTGCTTATTTCAAAGCCAGCGTGCAGGTGACCAAGCCCTGGTCTACACTTAAAATTTAGATCAGCCTAGCTCCATGTCTCAGGGGTGTGAAAAATTCACACCTTTGGGTGCCGTAGTTAAGCCGCTCTACGCCCCAGTGCGGACATGGCTAGGTGGACAGAAGAATTCTCTCGGGGAGGTGGATTACTCACATCTCCATCAACACAGGAAGCGTCTACGCTCCGGTGCTACGGCATTACAGCTACTGCTGCGCCACACATAGTGTAGACCTGGCCTAAGACAGACCGACTGAAAACCGTATGCGCCAAAGTCAGGGCCTCATCCTGGCCTAGTGGATCCTACGGGGCAAAGAGCCATTTAAAAATATTCCCAGGCCAGCAGAGACACCCAGCTAAGCTAGTGGAACAGCGTTCCCATCCAAGAGTCCCCGTGCCCGGAGAGCGTCCTCCCAGGGTGATGCCTCCAGCACAGGGCGGTGGGGTTCTCCCCAAGCCAGCTGGGCCGGGGGCAGCTCGTGCCTGCCGATGTCTCTCCGCAGCGGCTACCACCGGCTCAAGGAGGGGGCCGTCCCCACCGTCTTCGAGTCCTTCTCCAAAGCGCGCCGGGCGGCGAAGGTGAGGGCTCCCCGGCAGAAGGGTGATGACCCCAAGGCTGCCAGGGCCTGGAGGAGGTGGAGGTGAGTGCCCGTCCTGTAGATGGGCTGGGTCGTGGGGTGAGGGGCTGGGATGTGCCAAGGCAGAGCTGTGCAGGCCGGGTTGCGGATCAGAAGGGCCTGGTCTGCCCCCATGTGACTGATGGGGGCCCAGCCATTGCAGGGGCAATGGATCAGGGCGAGGAGCTGGAACTGGCTCTGTGGGCTGTGTGCATTGGAGACCAGATCTGGGGGGCAGGGAGCGGGGTCAAGGTCTGGAGTGGGTGGGGCAGCCCTGGATGTTATCTCCTGGGCTAGATTGAGGTGGGGAGGGGCAGGAGCTGGGGGTGGAAGGAGCTGGGGCTGTCCCTCTATGTTGACCCCAGGCTAGGTTGGGGCAGGGCTATCTTGGGGGCAGGGTGTAGGTGGGAGGGGCTGGGGCTGCCAGGGGAGTCAGGAGTCAAGACGGGTTGGGATGGTCTATTGCTCTGGGACCCTGCTGTGCCTGCCCCCTGCAGTGCATTGTGGGATGGGCTCTGTCCCCTCAGACGCGATCCAGGCCGAGGGGAGCAGGATGCCCCAGCCAGCGCGGAGGTCTCATGCTTCCCGGAGGAGGAGGAGTCTGAGTTGGCCACGCCCGCGGCTGCCCCCACCACTGAGCACCGCAGCCTGCCCGGGCCCCTCCCCCAGGGGGTGGAGCTAGAGGATCAGCACGACGTCATCCTGGCCAGCCTGTCGGACATCCTCCTGGAGTACCCAGCCGTGGCCACGGGGCAGGAGGCGGCCACGGGGCAGGAGGCGGCCACAGCCACGCCGGCGCTCCCGGAGACAGACACCCCCACGCTCCCAGAGACAGATGGTCCCTCAGAGGCCCCCACGTCGCCCGCCCCGGAGCCGCCCCGTCCCGTCTCCCCGTCTTTCTACATGCTGCGTCTGCCGCCCCCGGCCGGCGCCTACATCCAGAGCGAGCACAGCTACCAGGTGGGCAGCGCCCTGCTGTGGAAGCGGCGCGCGGAGGCAGCCCTGGAGGCCCTGGACCGGGTCCAGCGGCAGCTGCAGGCCTGCAAGCGGCGAGAACAGCGGCTGCGGTTGCGCATCTGCGAGCTGCAGCGGGAGCGGCGGGTGGCCCCGGACATGCGGCGCCAGCTCAAGGAGCACCTCCAGGTCTTTGAGCTGCAGCTGCTGCGTGAGCTGGAGTGAGCCACAGGACTGCGCGCAGGTGGCGTCTGTGTGTAGGGCGGGGGGGCTTCGCTCCACCCCAGAGGGATTGCATGGGACTCGGGCCTCTGCCCGGGCACGAGGCCCTGGGCTCTGTGGCTCGGCCACGGGCTGAGCTCAGTCCCTGCCCACAGAAAGTGGCAGGCCAGGGCTGGAGACGCAAACCTGGTGACAGCACTTCTCTGCCCCCCACTCCTGCCCCGACCTTTGCCTCTGTGCCAGGGAGGCGGATTGATGGGGGTTGTAAATAAAGGTCTTGTTTTATATGGGGGTGATGGTCCCGGAGTGTGCATAGCCTGTGGTGCGAGTGTGGCTGGGGGGGCAGCTGCAGGGTAACCCCAGGGTGGGCACTGCCCCTGGTATGCGTGTGCCCATTGCCCCCGGGGCAGCTGCGGGGTCGGTCCCAGGGCGGGCACTGCCCTGGTGTGCGTGTGCCCATTGCCCCCGGGGAAGCTGCGGGGTCAGTCCCAGGGCAGGCACTGCTCCTGGTGTGCGTGTGCCCATTCTCCCTGGGGGAGCTGCAGGGTCGGTCCCAGGGCGGGCACTGCCCCTGGTGTGCGTGTGCCCATTGCCCCCGGGGAAGCTGCGGGGTCAGTCCCAGGGCAGGCACTGCCCCTGGTGTGCGTGTGCCCATTGCCCCCCAGGGAGCTGCGGGGTTGGTCCCAGTGCGGGCACTGCCCCTCTTGTGCATGTGCCCATTGCCCCCAGGGGAGCTGCAGGGTCGGTGCCAGGGCGGGCACTGCCCCTGGTGTGCGTGTGCCCATTGCCCCGGGGGAGCTGCGGGGTCGTGGTCAGTCCCATTGTGGGCACTGCCCCTGGTGCGTGTGTGCTCATTGCCCCCGGGCAGCTGCGGGTTCGGTCCCAGGGCGGGCACTGCCCCTGGTGTGCGTGTGCCCATTGCCCCGGGAGAGCTGCGGGGTCAGTCCCGTGGCGGGCACTTCCCCTGGTGTGTATGTGCCCTATGGCCATGAGCACCTCAGCTCCATGCCTACGATTTTCCCCCTGTGCCTTCTCCTCCAGGGTCAGTTTGAAGCAGGGACTCACCAGCCCCGAGTTTCCCCGTTTCTGAGCAGGACTTCCTGCCGTGGAGCCCTGCAGCGTAGGGGCAAGGAGCTGTGGGCAGGCCCCTGCTGGCTGGGTGCTCTGAGTGGCTCTGGGTCCATTTCCCCTTGACTTTGGGGTTCCCTTAATGTCACCGGACCAGAATCCCAGCTTGCCTCGGCTCTGCTCCTCGAACCCCCTTCCTCCCCCCGTGCTGGCTGCCAGGGCCTGCTGCATTAACTATGGGTTGGCATGGTGGGGGCTGGGGGGGGTGATGCCACCTGTGTGATTGTTCCCTGCCCTCTGACAGGCCAAGCACCAGCACTGCGGCCAACGCCCAGCTGGGAGATAAAACGAGGGGCATGAAACGGGCCACATGGCAGTGAAGGGGAGCAAGAGATGGAGTGTGGGGGGGGGCTTGATCCCCAGCTGGTGTCAATCCCCCTAGCGAATGGAGGGGTGCTGAGTTACACCAGCGGCGGATCTGGCCCCACTGGATCGGGGCCGGTTGACACCAGCCGTCCCTGATTTTCAGTAATCCTGGAGGATGGCGTTTTACGTGTAATTACAAAATGACGAGTTCAGGCCTAAATCGACATCGACTGTCACAAGTGCTGACGGGTTCCCTGTGTGTCTATAAAACATGCCCTCCGTTGCTCACCACCCCCGAGGCCCAGCGAGCGCAGCAAATAGCTGCATGGCCATAGGGCCCTTCTCCGTGGCATGGGGGAGGCCTGCACAGGGAGGCTTGGGGGGGGGGGCGAGCCATGGCACTTTTGAATGGGTTGGGGGGGCCCTGCTGGATTCCCGCCTGAGCCACTGGCTCCCTGGTGTGCTGTAACTGCCCTGGTTGGACAGCATTACCCGGAGTGCCCCAGCATGAGAGATGGAGGAGGTAGACGACCAGGAGGAACGTACCTGGACAGAGGTCCAGGCCTGGGACTGGCCTAGGTAATTAAGCTCCCTAGTAGGCACCATAGGCGGGCATCTTTCCTAGGGCTGAACCCCCCTTTCCTGTTTGGGGTGCAGGTCGGGCACAACCAGGGAGAGCCCAGACACCCCCTTCCCCAGGCCATGGATGGGTGGCAGAGGTCCTGGTTCCTGGGGGTGGGAGAGAAATCCAAGCAGCCTCCTAGTTCCTCCCAAAACATCCCTTAATGTCTCAGAGCAAGGTTGGCATCTTCACCTGGGGATCCAGCCCCATTGGCCCCAGCAGGAGTCAATGGCGCAGACCCCCAGCAGAGGGTCAATCGGCCATAGCTCCTTTTAGGTCACCATCACTCGGCAGCCCAGTCTGATGAGCTGGACAGGGCGGGGGCAGTCGGACCCAGAGCGATGTCAGTAGAGGAACCGAGAACCCAGAGCCACCCCAGTACCTTGCCCTCGCCGGATGAGCAGGAGCGTTACATGGAGCTGCGCGGACGCCCTGTGAGGGATGGTCTCTGCCCCAGTTGACATGCACCAGGCAGAGGCGTGGGACGGGAGCATCAGCATCCCCGTTCTACAGAGAAGAAAGCGAGGTACGGAGAGATCGAGCGGCTGGGCCAGCACTCGAACCCAGCTCTCAGCAGCACCTTCTGCCAGCTGAGACCCAGCTCGCGTTTCCCAGCATCCAAGAGTTCCCACAGAGTCGAGCTGGGAAGGGGGGATGGCGAGCTCAAAGCCTCAGGCTCCTCCCATGAAGGCTCAGTCAGACAACTGTCCCTCATTTCAAGGTCCCAAAGTCTCATCCACGTGACACCATGTCACTGATGGTTGGGAACTCTTTTGATCCAGAACCGAGGGGTCCTGGCCCTGGGGGTTATCTACACCGAAGGCGACACATCTGTGATAGATCTCAGGGTACCCAGCACTGTGACCCAACTCTAGGAAAAGGGGATAGCTCGTGGTAGCCAGGTTTCATCTCTACCCCACCAGTCCTTCCACCACCCAAGGACTCTCCTCTGGGCAGTGCCCTCCCCGACTTCACCTTGCATGATAACAGGAGCACCCCACTCCCTGAGTCCCTTTGCCCTCTGATATCCAGCCCCTGGCACAGGCTACTCATGGAAATTCCAGATCCTCTGCCCCCAAGCCTGCCCCAATTTTGCCTTCAGCCTCCGCTCCCATAAACCACACAGCACTGACAATGCAACAGAGGCGGGTTTAGGAAGAAGTAAAGATTTAGCTACGAGTGCGAGGAAGTGGTGGAAACAAACAGTTAGACCACACAGCAAAATCACAGGGCGCGAAGGGTCTGATAGCTAGTTTTCTTTCCTTGCTAATAAAGTAAGTTTCCCCCACCCCACCCACCGCGCAAATAAAAGTTCAGTCTGTTGCAGAGTGCCTGGGGATTTCCTCTGTGAATGCATCCAGAGTGCATTTCCCTCTGTGGTATGGTGAAAACAGCCTTTTGATCCTATTCGCCGTCAGGGTAAACCTCTGCCTTGTGGCAATGTTCCTTTTTTTTAACCTTCCGGTGGTTTCATTCGATAGTTTGCACTGACCTCCAGTGATTTCCTGTTGAAAATCTTAGTATTGTGCAAGGCTAAACAACTTAAGTCTTGCATTGCATCACCAGCTAAGGAGGGGGAGTGGGAGGGGGACAACTCCCCTGGCCAAGTGGGCTGTCACCGAGACATTATCCCCCTGGGGTCTAATTTCTTCTCCAAGTCCGTAAAGCTTACAGTCAAGATCAAAACATTATCCCTTAAACGTCACCTGTACATGCATCTCCCAACGATTTTGAATCTTGACAAATTAGGAGCGTTCTGTAGGTACTTTTCTCATTACATTTTCTGGATAAATATCCTTAAGATGTGTTTGGTACAGTGAGTTTGTCAGGTCTCAGGTGAGAGCTGTTTGCAAAGAAGGGGACCTTTCGCCAATGGCTCGCGGTGTTTCAGCATCGCACTAGGGCTGGGAGGAAGTTTTCCATCAAGTGCTTTTTTTAGACAGAAAATTGTTGTTGTTTTTCCTCTCTGAAACATTTTTTTTTTCACCAAAAGAGCCTGTTGGTGAAATGTCTTTTTTTTTTTCAGCAAAAACATGACTGCTTGGAAAATGGAATATTTCGATTCAGAAATGCCGCAGTGATGGCTTATGGGAATTGTAGTTTGCTTGTCTCATGTCCCCATTCTCCTCTATAGACTGGGCTCTCCATTTGGACTACATCTCCCACGATGAACTACAGCGTAGCATTCCCATGATGCACCACCTCTGTCTCCAAGAGGAGAGACCACAGTGCCTCATGGGAGATGTAGTCTGACCAGAGAGCCCAACCTATAGAGGAGAATGGACACATGAGGCAACATGACGACATTTCAGAATTGAAATATTTAGGGGTTTTAGCCAAAATTTTTCATCAGTTGGTGAAAATTTTTTCACCATTTGGCTGAAAGTTTCCAGTATTAAAATTTTCACCAAGCAAAATTGAAATTTTCGGTGGAAAAGTCAGAGAAAACAAAAAAATCTACTTTCAAGGTAACTTTCTGAGGACAAATTTCGCTGAAAACAAAACACTTTGGTTTCATCAATATTTTCTGTGGAAAATGTAACCAAAATTGAAAATTTTTCACATCCAATGCTAATGTCTCTGGAAAATTAAGAGGAAAATGAAAAATTTCTGTTCCATTGATGTTTTCTGTGGAAAGTTTAGATAGGAACAAAAATTTTCTCTTTCACTGAAATTTTCTGTGGAAAGTGTAGATGAAAAGGAATATTTATGGTTCCATCTATGTGTTCTGTGGAAAATTTAGGGGAAAAAAAGACAAATTTTCTCTCTTGCCAACATGTTCTGTGGAAACTTCAGATGAACTTCTGTAGAAAATTTAGGCAAAAAAAATTCTAATCATTTCCCCCCCGCCCCCCCCGCTGTGGAAAATTAAGACAAAAATGTTCTGTGGAAACCCCCTTGTTTCCCAACCAGCTCTCGCCCCACAACATGTCCCAAGTGCCTCCTCATTTTAGGTCCACATTCGGGTAGCGTGGCCACGCTTAGGACTTCTTGGCCAATCCAGCCCTGTGCATCAGCTTGGCCACGGCCCCCTTGACCTCCTTGTTCCTCAACGTGTAGATGAGCGGGTTGAGGGCTGGCGTGACCACGATATAGAAAACAGCGATGTGCTTGTCCCGGTCAGGGACGGCACCGGAGCGGGGCCTCATGTACATGGAGATGACGGTGCCGTAGAAGATGGCCACCACGGCCAGGTGGGAAGCGCAGGTGGAGAATGCTTTGCGTCGCCCGGCGGCCACCTGTCCCCACAGCACGGAGGCCAGGATGAGGCCATAGGAGGCCAGGATGACGGCCAGCGGGAGCAGCAGGATGAGCACGGCCGCCCCGAAGACCACGGCCTCTGTGAGGCGCGTGTTGGCACAGGCCAGCTCCAGCACCACCGGCAGCTCACAGAAGAAGTGGTTGACCCGGTTGGGCCCGCAGAAGGGCAGCCGCAGGGTGCAGGCCGCGTTGACCACCGAGAGGAGGAACCCAGCAGCCCAGGAGGACAAGGCCAGTGCCCAGCAACGGCCCCGCCCCATGAGGGCGGCGTAGCGCAGCGGCCAGCACACGGCGACGAAGCGGTCGTAGGCCATGGCGGCCAGCAGGATGGCCTCGGTGCTGCCGAGCGAGAGGGCAAGGTACATCTGGGCGGCACAGCGAGCGAAGGGGATGGATTTGCTGTGGGTCAGGAGGTGGGCCAGAGCCTGGGGGATGGTGCAGCTGGTGTAGCAGATCTCCAGGAAGGAGAGGTGGCTGAGGAAAAAGTACATGGGGGTGTGGAGGCGCGAGTCGGCCCGCACCAAGCCCACGATCAGCAGGTTGCCTGCCATGGTGGCCAGGTAGGTGGCCAGGATGGCCACAAAGAGGAGGCGCTGCGTCCGCGGCCGGCCAGAGAGACCCACCAGGATGAACTCGTAGACCGAGGTGCGGTTCTCACTCCCCATCGCCTCCATTCGCCTGCAGGGAGAGAGAGCGGGGAGATAACATAGGCCAGGTTGTGAAGCAGACTCAACAGGGACTGGGCGACACTGGGGTCAATCCAGAATCACATCTGATTGCACGGAGGGCAGGGCTGGATTCTGATCTCAGCCCCCTGGGGTCAATCTGAATTTCAGGGGCGACTCCAGATTGACCACAGGGGGACTGAGATCAGAATCCAGCCCTGCCCCCACTGCAGTCAGGGGTGACTCCAAGCAGGGATCTGTACCTGGGGTGCCCCCCTCCCAGGAGAATTCCCTACTCACTGGGCTATTAGCAAGTCTCTCTCTCCCCACCCTCCTTCCTTATCCTGCACTTGTGAAATATGTTTGCCAAATCTTTTGAAACTTCCTGGTCATTAGAGATCCCCTGTAACATCCTGTCCCCCACCCCCACAGACAGCCCAGATTCCTGGCTAAGCCCTCTGCACTCTCGGCTGGTTTCTCCATCATTTCCTGTCCCAAACTCTTGCAGTAGTGTTGCTTTAAGCTGTTAAAGAGCCCCTGTGCTCCACCCCAGAGGTGGCCGCAGCTCAGCACCAGCTGAGGGGTCCCTGTATAACCAGCCCCTGTGCCCCACCCCATATCCCACCTCCCCTGCCTGCCCAGAGCGATTTGCTGGGCATGAAGCCCTGCGCGGAAGCTGAGGACGGGATGTTCAGAAGCCTCCAATGATTGGACAAGTATCAGAGGGGGAGCCGTGTTAGTCTGAATCTGTAAAAAGCAACAGAGGGTCCTGTGGCACCTTTAAGACTAACAGAAGTATTGGGAGCATAAGCTTTCGTGGGTAAGAACCTCATTTCTTCAGATGCATCTGAAGAAGTGAGCTTCTTACCCACGAAAG